CATGCTGACCCAGATGATTGAGAATGCTTCATATCTTGCAAAACAAATTCCAGCGACACTCGAGTCTTTTTGGGGATATCGGCATAAAGCACAATGTCAACCTAAATAAACTAAAAAATGCCATGTCTTGCAGGAGGAAACTTCACGACAACTTGGAAATACATTGTTCTATCATAAGAGAATTTCCAATGAAGCATTACACTCATGTTGGATCAGAGCATGTATTCTCTTTTTCCTGGAGGAAACTTTTATAACAGCTTTGACCAGGGAGTTGTGTAATGGCTCTTCAAATGTCGATCACTAATTGATGATATTAATCGTTGACTCCTTAAGTTGATGAATTGGAAGATTCCTTATGTACATTCTTGATAACAGAAAGACCTTTCAAGTTAGATTCAATTTTCTGTCAATTTTAGATTTGGCAATTCCTCCACTAAAATTTTGTTATGTCAGCTTGAATTCAATAATCTTCCTATCGACGATGATTAAAGATACATCTCCACTTGATTGCTTTGGATATATTGAAGTGTGAGGAATGACTATAGTCATATCCTATTGGATTAATTTGATAACCCCTCCACCCATGAGAGTAAGATATTCTCCATTTGGTTGTTCTTAGATTTATTGGAGAGTAAGGACTTACAAATGTCATATCCTACTAGCAAAAGTATGATAACCCCTCCACACGCGGGGATGAGGCTAACTAGTGAAGGGATCTCTTGGCAAGCTTTCCAAGTTATCAACCATCTTGAGATTCTTCAATGAACTTTCTTCAAAATTCATTTTTAAATGATCTTGTTAATGACATATCACTGAGAGCACAAATCAGATGTTATGTCAATTCCTTTTATAACCATTTTACTTTTATTAATTTTGAGCTATCATCGTAGGAGGAAGATAGCAGCTTCCTGATTGGAGCCCTATTGGGCTCAACCACCATAAGCTTTGGACATTCTTTTTATTAGCTCTTTTCTTTGATAATTTTTATAATTTTAGGACCATGTGCACTCTAAAAGACAAATTTAGGATGATTCCTTTCAGTATAGCTTAATGTGATCAAGCTCGAGAAAAGTTTTTCTATATCAACCAGTAGAGCTATTCCTGCTAACCAATTTTATATTATTCTTTTAATTCTTTGTGGCTAAGAATACTTGCTTCTGGGACAAGAGCTTCTTAAGTGATTAATTGATCAAGCAACAATCATTAAGCTCTTAATATTCTTCTTTCACTCTCACAATTACAGATTAGTTTCTCTTCTGCAAATTGAGGTTTTCTGACGTAGCTTCAAACAAATACAATTATGGTCATAGCTTCGGCGATGGAAATTTCCAAACCAGCAAGCTGAATAGTTATCATGCATAGTGAGATTCTTCTAAGAAACCATAATACTAATATTCATCATTATGACTGATTCTTTAGAACATTCTTGACAGATTTTACCGACAACGGATCTCTGGGATTGCTAACTAGATTCACATCTTTTTCTTCCTCAAAATTTCTTTTTAATATTTTCTTACCTTTCTGTCGAGACCTTTCAATGGTGGATCCCTGAAAATGAGGCATGGATGTATGCCCCGATGTTAAACGAGCAGAATTTTCTTCATCATAAGTCATTTCTCCTAGCAACCCTTAAAATTCTTGAAATTTAGCAAATAGGTTTCCAAGTCTTTTCTTCTCCTCAGCAAGAGTCTATGATTATTGATTCTGAAAGAATTACCTTGTTTCACCAGTAGAGCTGATCCTTTTAACCATTTTAAATTATCAAATTTATTATGAATCGAAACATTCGCTTCTGGTTGTGGGGTTAACCGAGTGGCAAGTTGCTCCAACTGTAACTACTGGGCTATTCAACTTATATTTCTTTTCTTCCTTCGTCTGTTGGTCAACCTGCCTCAAGTTTAGAAAGCTTCAGCATCATGTCTATTAGGATCTTTCGATAGTAGATACTTAGACTTAAGACTTAAGTATCACACACCTTGATGTTCACCTTATAAAACATTTTGCTCGGTTGGGACATTTGAGCATTAGATTCTCGGACTAAGATTCATGTGTAACACCCTTATGCTTGCAATATAGAGATAACTTTTATGTTGGGACCTTCCGGCGATGGATTTCAGATTGAGTTCACCGGTCATACACCGATGCTCATCAGATAGAGATTACCTTTTTTTATTGGAACCTTTCGACAAGACCCCTGAGTTGAGATTCGTAGAACATGGCCCGATGCTCACCATACGGACTTTCTATATTTATGTTGGGACCTATCGGAGGTAGATCCCCGAGTTGAGATTCATAAGTCAAACCCGTTGCTCGCCAGCCAGACATTAACTTTCTGTTAGGACCTTTCGATAGTAAATTCCTAGGTTGAGAGTCATAGGTCATACCCTGATCTTGACCAGATAGTGATTATCATTCTCTTGGGATCATTCAGCGGTAGACCCCCTGGGGTGCGAGTCATAGGACGTACCCCGATGCCCACCAGATAGAGATTATAATTCCGTTTGAACCTTTCAAAGGTAGATTCCCAAATTAAAATCGGTTGAACATGCGCTAATGCACACCACATAGAATCTACTCAAACTGCAAGTGATTGCATTATTTATATTTTGTCAATTTAAAAATTGTTATTATAGTAAATAATTTATGACTAGCTAAAGATGGAAAGAGAAACCTCCCTCGCAAAGTCGTTGGAAATCTGCAAGCTCCGAAAATTCAACAACCGTTCCTCAGAAGACTGCATTTTTTTTTTTAAGAGAGCTTTGGAGGATCAAATTTTCAGAAGGGAGATTGGATTGCAGATAAGAAACTACCCAAAGATTTCACCCTCAACTTGCTATGACTTTTGATATTGGGATAGAGGTTTCTCATATGCACAAGTCCATATGGTTAATTACCCCTCCCGATAACAGGAAAGAACTTTCGATTCATGCGTCATTAAAAATTGAAAATTGAACATATAATAGCAGCAAACTAAAGATTTAATTTGCAGAATTCATCACTTGAAACTTAAAGTGAATGGTAGAGGAATAAAAACAAAACCCAATCAATACCTTATGGTTTTGTCATTCCTAGGCTTCATGGCCCCTGATCTATTTAGTCAAAAGAGGTAGTCAACCCACCGTGACAGAAGAATCCTTCTCAACAGTAATGAGTTGTGTCATCCAACAAATCCTTATAGATCTTGGATGGATGTTAGTTTAAGAAGATAATTTTAAGTCGAACTTAACTAAGAGTTGATTTTGTGTGAATCAATTGTACCCGTATGATTTATTGGGTTGTGAAGCCTAAGCACAAGACACCCAACGCATAGAGGTGTAAACGAGCCGAACATGTGCGCGCCCAGACACAATTTGTGTTTGACTAGTTAAAAAATATCAATGTTTGTGTTCGACACATTTATATTTCAAACAAAAAAAAAATCTATTCTTGTTCGGCTCATTTGCTTAACAAGCCGAACACGACCTGTTCCCGAACAAAGAGTCGTTTTGATAATCTTAGTCACGCAACCGTTGGATGTCAAGGGTTAAGGTGAGATTTAAATTTTATTATTTATATTAAGACATTATTTAAATATAATTTAATATATATTTTTTTAATTGATTATATATCTTTGTAGCCTTGTAATTAATTAAATTTCTTAAAAAATAGTCCCCAATATCCCTCTCTCACACACATCAAAAAAGGAAAACCCAAATCAAACATAGGAGAATCCTGTTACTGCGGTAAGAAGAGGCATTTCAAGAAGAACTGCAAAATTCCAATGAAAGCTGGTGGTGGAGGATAGGAAAGTAGTTTCTCTACTAAATTGAGACATGTGAAATCCAAAACCTAGTCGGCATTGAATCCTAGATAGTGGATTCAGGTGCCTCTATTCATACTTGCTCTAATAAAAAAGTATTTAAAAACTACACTTAGTGTGATCTAGGAAATGTTTATTTGATATTCAGTTTAAATTTAGTCTCCCAATTTATCACATTTTATATTTTAGTCAAGCTTACAAGCTTATCCCCTCCAAATTATGATATTTTATTTAAGTTAAGCTTAAACGCTTACCCCTTCCAATTTATGATATTGTATATTAAATTTAAGCTTAGCCCCTCCAATTTCTATATTAAAATAGATCTCATGAACATTCACTTACATTAGGAAATATAATTTTATTTGATCACATTCAAATCATCGAATTTGAAACTTTTAACTCATAATTTATGTTTCCCTTTATTTCTATTTTGATATTATTTTAAGTACAAATAATTCATTTTTTTAGAACATTAGCAAATCCAGTATCACCAAAATGCTTAGCAATCTCCCGACGTCGTCCCAAATTAGAGGGTTGCATAGGGATGATTGTCTGCCCAGCTATCTATAAGACGTGTTGGTCAGTTTCACGAGACACTGCGGCCGAAAAAGATTGTGAGTAGTCACTTTTCCTACATAAAAATAAAAAAATCCTGATTTCCCTATTTTTACCTTTTTGTGCAAAGCCACAATAGTATATATGGTGATCTCTAGGGTAAAATGATAATCAGTGACACCATACAATATTACATATAGTCCTTTAAGCTCTCTAAAGCTTTCTTTAAAATTTCCTCAAACATTTCCTGTCATTTCAATCAGATCTTTGAAAGAGACAGAGTATGAGCATTCTTTCTGGATAATTCAGTAGAGCTGTCAATTTCACGCTCAACTCTGATCTTTTCATTCCATCATCACCATCACTGCAAGCACTGATCTCATTCAAATTCAAAATAAGTTCTTTGACGTTTGAAATTATAGCTCTACATGTAGGATCAACTCCTTTATCTGCAGTGTCCCTTGTTTAAAAGTTGAGTATTTACATGTAGGGGAATCTAGAAGAGCTTCATCTTCAATATCACTAGCCAAAACTGTACCTTAATTAGTCGACGTCACTCTGATGAAAACAGTACATCCCTTATGCTTCATGTGAAATGCTCTCTCCCTTCTTCCATTTCCATCTGCTTCTTCCTGCCACCTTGCTCTCACGCTGAGTGCCACAAGAAGCTTGTTGTCGCAACAACACCAACGCCACCTCCAACTGCAGCTTGTTGGAAACCTGAGCAATGCTTCCTCTTCTCTTCAGTCCTCCCCACCTCATAACAATCGGATAGAAGCAAAGCGTAGGAGAGGACTTCAAGCTCACAGGCAGATATTAGCAAGAGATGCCAAGATCAGCGTTGGGACTCCTTTTAGTAGAGGGCAACAAAAACGGAGGCAACGATGTTGTGTTGCCATTGGTCTGAATGATTGTAGAAGATTCTTCAACTAGAATTTCTTGTGATAATCTAGAGCAAAATTGTGCGATGACAATGGGTATCGCTCTGGGATGGCTTCAATGAACGAAAGAAATAAATCAGTAACCGAGGAAGCAAGGACAAACAGAAACTGGCAGTCGACTCCAGCGTTGAAAGAAGTCAAAGGATTCTAATTCACAACGATTCCGTCGTTTCAGAAAGGAAACTAGAGACCAATGATTGAAAGAAGAACAAAGAGGCTTCAGCAAGTGGGTCGTGTGAGACACGCGGGAAAGACAAGGATTTTGAAGGCCTCTGTACGATGCATTCTTGCCTTCCTCGCTATCCCTAATTGCTATTGTATCGGAGAGAAGAAATTTGGGAAAATTCCTCTTTTCGGTTTTTGCTTCGTGGGAGTTAGATTATAAAAATAAATAAATAATTGAGCGGGAGTAGTTTGCCTTGGCATGCGGGAACAGTTCCGTCCAAGGCAATTTGAAAATGCCCAAATTTTAAATTGACTAAATTAATTTTAATTAAGTTTAGTATTAAATATTGATTTTTATAGTATTTTAATGTCAACCTCTTGATTTCTTTCTCTCTTCAGGATAGATTTTTCTATTCATCAACAAGAGAGTGTTACACTATCATTTGAGATACTTGAACCATTAAAAAAAGTATTTCAAAACTTTGTTAGACTAAAACAGTACATGAAGCGCACAAGCAATGCTACACAAACTTAAACTATGGTGTCATTAGTTATTGAGTTAAACTGTGCAGCATCAAACAACCACATCATGAACTAAACTCATTGAATGATAGCCTTTTAATTTAATTTTTTAATTAATTACATCATAAAAAAAAATTCTGCTAAGAGCAAAGATGATTTGACTCTTATAAAAAGTGTTATACCAGTTGATACGCCTCATATTAAGCTAAAGAGACCTCATCAATCACAAACATAAAAATGAAATTTAAAGTTTAAACATAGTATGTTCGTTGATACTTAACCCTCAATAGAGTCGACAAGTCACCATTAACTACAAAAGCTCCTAAAATCATTCCTTCTGCCCATTTAAAAAACAGTTGGTTGACATAGTGAAGAAGATTGGTATTGGCGAGATTATCTCATTATTTATCCAATGTTTTGTGTCGTTGTTCAAAATGCACTGGCTATCAATATTTAGAAAACAGTTGGCCCATTTGCTTGTTCTATTTAGGCACTTTTGAGAAAGAACATCTTCAACTACTACAAATCTCCTTGAGTCACCTATACTTCGATAAAACAGAAGAAAAGGATATTGTATTTAATCTAACATTTTCTTGGCTATGGAAATTACTGAGATATTGAGCCATAGAAAGTTTTTCAATAAAGCACATTGAATTATTACTCCTATGATGCGCCCTATTTATCACTATCACCGACACATTGTAGGCATATGTATCAGATGTCTAAGAAGTGAGAAAGAAGGTAAGCAACCAATAAGTTAATATGAAAGTGATTACTTAGTTGCCATCTACTAAGTACGGTAAAGCTTCCAAGAAACTGTGGAGCAATTCATGGAGTTGATGAAGGGTCAATGTTTACCTATCCTTGCAAGCCGATTCACCCATTTTGGAATAGAGTTTCCAGTCAATTTGTAACAGACGTCCTTGCAGAAATGGTTGCAGTTCTTAACAATTAAATGATATTTATCACCACTGTAGTTTGCAGAATGATGTTCCATAAATTCCCTGACCTGAATTGGATCTAGACAAGTTGTGCCCATGAATATAGACTTCCTAAATCTGAAGCCTGGGCATTGCCGAGGCTCAACCTCAAACACTCCGCTCGTTGGATAATCATGCGCCCCAAATGCATACTCCACGCCATAAACTGTAAGCATGTAATTGTAGAATTAAAGAACTTTAGAAGATCCTGTTGGTGGAGTACAAGTTTAATAATCCAATGGCGTCACACTTAAGAAATTGATATACAGTCTATCAAGGACTGATCATAGTAAAGTCAAACCAAGTAACTCAACAGATTTTTTCAGCGATAAAATTCATCTCTATTAAAGTTGTTATATTAGTTTCAAAATCCCAATTAAGAATCGTGCAATTAGTAACTGAAAAGATATGGTTAAGATATAGATAAGAGTAAAAAATAAATCTTAAATTGAATAGTTGAAAAGTATATTCATACAGAAATACCAAATAATTGGCCATATTTGTATACTTTATTATTGAAGATATAAAAGAATATAAAAAAATAGCTTTATTGCAGAGAATATCCATGAAACACAACATCAAATTCCAAATAACACTTGTAAATGATTTTGAAGCTGATCTACAACAATCAAAGTCCCTTTTACAGTTTTACCTCTAAATCAACATTAAGGGAGAACTCGTTAGGAATTTTGCCATTGAATAGTTACAGAACTTGTTCAAAACAAATGACTTGCAACAAATTGAGTTTCATCTTTTTACACTATAAATGGATAAAATAAATTTCAGATCAACATCCAGAGAACATAAAAGGTAAAGTTTTTTTTGGCCAAGTGTGCATAAGCCTAATTGATTTAATAACTTAAAAGCCTTAAAGCATTTCATTCATTCTGCAAGTTTTCAATGATGATCATTTCGTCATTTTCTGTAAATAAATTTATTGGCCTAATGAATCTCAATGTGATAGACTCATCCATCATAACTCATATGATAGACTCATCCATCATTTCATTTTATGGTTTGCTAAATGCGATTTTAAGCTGCTCAGTTTATAGGCCAAGCAATAATGATGGCATGGTGCACCAAGATCACAAGGAGCATTTGCAATTTGGAGATAAGCAGAGGAGGATAATTTCTACAAATTTAAAAATGCAAAAAAAAAAAATTCCAAGTCATTTAGTTTAGTATGCGAGTTTAGAGGTTATTCACTGTATCTAAATCAATTCCAACTTACCTAAAGCCTTAAAAAATTATGAATGAAAACTCAAAACGATGAATTTTTTTTTTTTAATAAGTACTAGAAAAATATTTCAATTAATAAAAAAAATATTAATTTTTGGTTGCCTCGATTTTCATATTTATAGTTTTATGACTATTATATTTTGCAACATTTAGATTTACTTTGAATTTAATGTGGAAAATAAGTATTTGATAAAAAATCTTTGAAATATGTTTAAACTATCTTCTTAATCATTTGTTTAAAATTTTATGACATCTAAAGTCGTATTTCGATTTTTTAACGTATTTTGAAATGATTGGTTTAAAGTTGAACTAATTGAAATTACTGAAATTCAAATTTCTTGCCAAACTTTGAACTTCTAAACAGGCATGGAGTTATTAAATTTGACATCTAATTCAATTTCCAAGTTTCCAAGCAAGGTTTGAAAGAACGGAATTTATTTACACCAACAGCTATTTAAATTACATATAAAATATCCAATTCTCATTTATAGAAGTGCGATGTTAACAATATCACTTGGCCAGCTACTCAAGTAAACATTGTTAACCAAGATCTAAGCTGTTACTAACAACTGATTGCTAGCCACTATCTGCTGCATGGCATTTGCTCGCACTATCACCTATTTTACGGTAGGAGCGGAAATAATTTATTCGAACTACTTAATAGTATTGAGTGGTTTAGCTGTAACTCCTAAGAATTGGGAGCTTTGTAAGTAATTCAATAGATTACAGCGGTATATAAATAAAATTTCTTAGAATACTTTTTTAAACAAAAATGTAGCTATCCACACAGTCTATTAGAACTGCAGAATCAAATTAACAAAGACGTGTCTTTGTATCTCTTCTACCATGGCATGGTAGACATTGCCTTCCACAACACTCTTGTGCAAGAACCAGCAAGTGAAAGAATAAAGAAAGGTAGATTTACATACGTAGCACACAATTCATATGTATTTACATATCTCACACCTAAACATTCATATTTACACACATGGCACTCAAATCACTAATATCACGTCAAAAATAGCAATATTACCATTTTTTAAAAGTGAAATGCACCTTTTCAGGAATAGGTTTAAAGCGCCGAATTGCTGTGTGTGTGACTATGAAAGTTTAGGTGAGAAATGTAAATACATAAGAATTGTGTGCTATGTATGTAAATTTCCCAAAAAGAAAAAAAAAATCCTGAAAAACAAAGTGCCTCCTCAAACAGAACCCAAATGACAACACAAGGAACAACACGCCATACCTTCAACCCCAGAGTGGAATATGCCCAGCCCCGCCCAATAAACATAACCGTTCAAGGGTGTCAAGTCATATACGTTCAGATAAACAGGTGCGTTGCCTGATGTTTGTCCAGCTGATCGAACTTTGGGGAACAAAGAAAAGCGAACCAAGGATTTCCTTCCCACCCGAAATGGCATGAGAGAACTCCAACCATTTTTTGAGCCTGACTTCATATTTCTTCAAATAATGAAGAAATTTCTCAAAGTTTGTTGCAGGCTGGCAAAAATAAAATGAAATTGCAGGTTACCTTCCAAATGAAGAGTCGCCACAAAAATACTGTAATAAACTGATTTTTTCTTGCCAACCAAGTCATGAAATTACAATTGTTTTTTAAGAAGCTAATATTTCAAAAATACAGCTAAAATCTTGTTTTTTTTGTTTTTTTTTCTAGAAATATATTGAAATTACATAACAGGAAGACATTGAAATCACATATTAAATATTGAGGACAAACTTTATAAGTTGAAAGGATTCATGTATTCATGGAGTCACATACCCTTCTTTATCACTAGCAAATTGAGCAAAAAAAAAGAATGAAAGATTAATCATTAGCAAGTTTCAAGTATGACTCAATTTCACTCCAAGCAAGACCTAAATTTGAAATGAGAAACAACGACTTAAAAACCCTAGACAAACGCCAGATAGCACTATGGGCTCGTTTTGTAGAAGAAAACATGTTGAAGGGGCTGTTTGACTATTAGATTTAGTAAATCTTAGGTGGTAAATTCCGAAAATCATTTGGCATCATAATTGTTAAATCTTGCTTTGTTTAGTATTAAAATTTGTGAGAAGAAATTTTGAGATCCTTGAAATCTTATAAAAAGTGGAATTTAACAGATAAAGAAGTTAAAATCTCTATTTGAAAATATTTAAGCTAAATCTAGCTTAAATCCTGTCAAGAATAAAATACTAAACAGCTTCTTAGAAAGTGATGATTCTGTTTTCCAAAAGTCATGCTGATTCCCAACTGCTTCCAACGAAATAACGGAGTCCAGTAAACTCATTAATCTTCAACACATTTTTCTTACTTCAAGTAACGCAACGACCATTAAAAGTAAATCGCTATCATCAACTATTTAGAAAGACCATGAAAAGTCCTCAAACCTACATTTCCGCCATCATGCATCAGCCACAGAAGCGCAAAACCTTACCTGTACAATTTAATGACAAAAACACCGCAGTTTCTTTTAGCAGAAATCTTCAACTCCGACAAAATGATACCTCCCCACTATTCACCAGTAAACTTCAACCGAATAAATCAACAAATGAAGAAGACAAAACTAAAGAGCAAAGCACGGACGCCTAAACCCCCAACGCCCCGCCAACCC